CATAGCATACAATAGTACATGTATGCATAGCATACAATAGAACGTTTAAAAAATAGCATACAAAATGTAGTAATTAACTAATTAAATAATTTAACGCATTAATTAGTAATAATAGAGCACTGACTGCCGTCGGGTAGGATCTTGCAGTACATCATCCCATCCGGTATCATAATACTCTGTCCCTCCAGCAGTCGCTGACTCGTGCTGCCACCTATGGCCACCACCGACGACGGGGCGCCCTGCAACGGCACGAAGCACGATTAGCGTCGCCGCGTTTCCACGGCGACCTCTCCGACGAACGGCCGCGAGATGACAATCGCGACGTGTGATTGGAGAGATGGATGATTCGACTTACGGCGGTCGAATTTGAATTCTGTCAGGGCAAGGATGGTGTTGTCTTTGCGTTTCATTCAGAAATGTTAGGGCACCCTGCGTGCAAGACGGAGGGACACAGACGCAGGCATACATTTCCTTCGAAGATGGCGTCGGGTCGTTGACGCCATTTCAGAACTTTTTCCTTTCAGCTCGATCACAAACCACTCCACTTAATTTCGCAACTTTTTCCTACCACTCGCAAATAACGCGCCTTGATTTTGCAACTTTTTCCTACTACACCACTTAATTTCGCAACTATTTCCTTTAGCTCGATCACAAACCACTCCACTTAATTTCGCAACTTTTTCCTTTCGTTTGCAAACCACGCAAATTAATTTCGCAACTTTCCCCACTAGCTAGAACACAGTTTCTCTCACAACTGCTTCCCCAGCGCAGAATCGTCATTTGTTTTCACATTTTTTTACGAGGGATTCGAGAACGCGGGATATCGACGCGACTTCGTCGCACGCGGCATCGCAAACCCACCGTCGCTGCGGCGTCGGCGTCGTCGGCGGCAACGCTCGCCTCCTCCGTGAACTTCGTCATCGTCGCCGCGTCGTCCGTCTCCATCACGGTCGTCGCCGTGGCATCTGTCCCGGATGCCGTCGCCGTGGTAACCATCGTGGCGGTGCTCGCGAACGACAGCACGCCCTGCGGAAGAAACGCGGCAATGAGTTAACGGGGGTCTCTCTCTCTCCCCCTCCTCTCTCTCTTTTCTCTCCCTCTCTCGTATCTCTCTCTTCTCACCTCTCACTCTCTTTTCTTTCTTTTCTCACTCTTCTCTCTATCTCTCTCTCTCTCTTCTCTCTCTCTCTCTCTCTCTCTCTCTTCTCTCTCTCTCTCTCTCTCTCTCTCTCTCTCTCTCTCTCTAACTATATGTATGTATATCTATAACTATGTAACTATAATAGTAACAGACCGATAACACGTAATTACATTGCAGACGGATGACTTTGGAGGCACGACGTCGTTTAGCAACACGGTGGTCGTCATGAACACGCGTGAGTGGGGAATACTGGGAGCGTGGGATCGAGCTTACAAGGTCACGTGCGACTCCAGCGACAACCAGGCCAAGATGGTGGACTACGCACTTGGCGTGCCGTGAGTGCTAAAGCTGAGACAGAGAGGAATATAATATATAATATATAAATATAATAATAATTAATAGTGATAATGATTATGATGAGGCGGCGAGTGCTATATTATATAATAATAATTAATAATTATAATAATGTTATATATAATAATGTTAATCATATTTATTAGTGGTAATTAAAATTATAATAAAAATGATAGATGCATAAAGAATTCTAGAAATGTAATTTTTATGGACCTTATATTTCAACTCTCTCTCTCTATCTCTATCCCCCTGTTTCTCTCTCTTTCTTTCTATCCCCCCCTCTCTCTCTCTCTCTCTCTCTCTCCCACCCACTCTCTTGCTATCTCTCTCACCCCTCTCTCTCTTCCTCTCTCACTCTCTCCTTCTCTCCTTCTCTCCCTGTCTCTCATACCATCCAACATTGACACCTCATTCTAAGCTCTCCTCTATTCTTGCAGCAGCGACCTTCATGCGGTGAAGGTCGCGGGGCAGGTGACGATGCCGGCGTGTCACATGAAGGTCGTTCGCGGCGACGACCCCTTGCGACCTGGCGCCGCCGAACTGACCTTGGGCGACCTCGCCACAATGGTCGCCTACGTCCGCGGACGTAAGTTGTCGTTGTTGTTTTTAATCTCAAAATCATTTGAAATCGGGACCCCGGCTGGGTTTTCTTTTTTTTTATCCGTTTTTCGATATTTTCTCATCTCTTTTTCTACATTTAAAAAAATTCGTTTTCGATTCGTTTCTCATCCATTTTTCGACCTTTTTCTCGTCAGTTTTTTCTCCTATATATATACATATTCGATTCATTTTTCTCCCCGTTCGTCTTCGATGTGTCTGTGTTCGACTGCCGCGCGCACAACGGCACGGCTGCCGGCTGTCCGATTTTACTACTCGTTTTTCTATCTGTTTTTTAAATATTTATCGATCCGTATTTCTTTCCGTTTTCGATCCGTTTTCGATCCGTTTTCGATTCGTTTTTCGTCCGTTTTTCGATCCATCTTCAATCCATCTACCCCGTCCGTCTTCGACCCTGCAGGTGAGTTTGACGTATCAATCTTCGACTGCCGCGCGCACGACGGCACGCCTGCCGGCTCCGTAGACCTGCTAGACCTAGCCGGGTGTCCGGCACGTGCGGGGATCGTGGGCGAGCAGCGGAGGGGCGGCGCGGCGACGACGGATGCTCTCGTGTTCGCTCACTTCACCGCCTTCAAGTTCCCCGACGTCGACACGGTGGTGTTCGAATGTCGCTGCAGGGTGTGCGCCGAGAGCTGCTTGCGGGTAGGTGTGTGTGTGTGTGCGTGCGTGCGTGTGTACGTGTGTAGGTTTGTGCAGGGTGTGCACCGAGAGCTGCTTGCGGGTAGGTGTGTGTGTGTGTGTGTGCGTGCGTGTGTACGTGTGTAGGTTTGTGCAGGGTGTGCGCCGAGAGCTGCTTGCGGGTAGGTGTGTGTGTGTGTGTGTGCGTGCGTGTGTACGTGTGTAGGTTTGTGCAGGGTGTGCGCCGAAAGCTGCTTGGCGGTGTAGGGTGTGTTGTGCTGTGTGGTGTGTGTGTGTGGTGTGCTGTGGTGCGTGCGTGCGTCGTGTACGTGTGTAGATTGTGCAGGGTGTGCGCCGAGAGCTGCCTGCGGGTAAGGTTGGTGTGTGTGTGTGCGGTGCGTGCATGTGTAACGTGCTGTGGGTTTGTGCAGGGTGTGCCCGAGAGCGTGTTGGCAGGTTAGGTTGTGGTGTGGTGAGGGGGGGGGGGGGCGTGCGGTGTGTACGTGCGCGCGAGTGTGTGTGTGTGTGCGTGTGTTATGTGTGTGTGTTGGGGTGGGGGGGGTATGGTGTGTGTGTGTGTGCGTGCGTGTGTGCCCGTGGTATATTGTGTGTGTGCCGTGGGGAGGGTTATGTGTTGTGTGGTGGTGTATATGTGTGGTTGTGGTGCGTGTGTGCATTGCGCCGCGTGTAGTGCTGTGGTGGGGGGGGTAGGTGTGTGCGGTTAGTGTGTGCAGGTAGTGCGTCGGAAGAGCGAAGAGAGTTGTTGATCCCCGTGGTCTTTGAGCTTCGTTCTGTGAGTTTTGTGCACGGGGGTAATCCGGGGGGTATTACCATGTACCGTCGTCACTCACACGCCACGCTCACCACACAACAGTTTAACACACGCTCAGTTACCAGACACACACTCACACGCACGCACGCACGCACACCCTCAACTCAGAATTAAGCACGGTGTGTTGCGGTGGCATTTATTCACCGGTGTGATTTCTTGCTTACACAGCCCCGCAGTGCAGTAGCGAGGAGGCAGGAGAAACAGCAGCAGCAGCAGCAGAGCAGCAGCAGCAGCAGCACAAGCAGGAGAAGGAGGAAGAGAAAGCATCAGCAGCAGCAGCAGCAGCAGCAAGCAGGAGGAGAGGGAGGAGACAGAACAAAAGGACGCTAGCGTGCTGGTGTAAGCACGCATCTTCCAGTCGTTGAACGTCAGACTACCGGACAACCTCAGGTAAAAAGTTTAGACTATGCCAGTCCTAGGTATAAATATAGGTGTTATTAGCATCTTGTCTCTTTCTCCATCTGCTCCCTCTCTCTCCCTCTCTCTCGTTCATCTCTCTCAGGCTTCTCTCTCGATCGCACTCTCATCTCTCCTCTCGGCTCTCAGCGTCTCGCGCTCTCATCTTCACTCTTCTCTCGTCTCTCATTCTGCTCTCTCTCGCTCTCGGCTACTCTCTCGTCTCTCGTCCTCTCTCTCTCTCGTCTCTCGTCTTCGTCTCTGTCCTCTGTCTCTTCTCTCTCTCTCTCTCTCTCTCTCTCTCATATATATATATGTGCCAGCTAATTGTGTAAGAGGCTAGGAAAGCTATACTATATACATATATATCAGGTTGTATATATTTACTCCCGAAAATAGCCTATATAATATAATATAATATAATAATATAATATCTATATCTATATAATCAAGAGCGTATAAAGATGGATACGCTCTTGACATAATATCTATCAGCACATTTAACCAATGCTGAAAACAATGTAAATGATTGTCATAATTGTTTTTGCCTTCTCTCATTTCTCGCAAAATGAACTATAGGCATTTTTTGCAATAAGCTCTCATATAGATATATATATATACATAATATAATATAATATATATATATACATATATATATATATATATAATAATAATGATAGTAAATGCATGTATAAAACCTTGCTACAGGAGCGGAGGCTGGAGCGGAGGCTGGAGCGAGCGACAGCAGCGTCTGCGAGTCTCTGACTGTCATCATGATCATCGTCGTCACCGTCGCCATCGTCGTCGTCGCCCACCGCCACCCGCACTCTACCGCACGCAGAGAAGGGAGGCTGGCGAGAAGTGGGGGCCAAGTACCGCGAAAACCTGGCCGTGAAGCTGGCAACTATGCTCAAACCGAGCACGATTGTGATGCGATTGTATGTCGGCATCGCAATCGATGCGCGCGTGCAGATCGACCGGAGACTATCGTCGTCATCGTCGTCATCGTCATTATCATCTGCGTCGTTGTCGTCATCGTCGTCATCGTCATTATCGTCGTCAATCGGCGTCAATCCGGTCGTCGATCGTCCATTATCGAATGCTGCGCGTCGTTGCGTCATCGTCGTCATCGTCAAATTATCGTCATTATCATCTGCGTCGTCGTCGTCACGGTGAGCATCATCATCGTCACCATCATCATCATCATCATCATCATCATCATATCATCATCACTAGGATTGAAGGCTAGGCAAAAATGCCATTGGATATTTAGAAAATATAAAAGACAAATATTATAGTTTTTTTTATTATAAAAGACAAGCAGAAATCAAAATAATTATTTATAAAAGACAAGCAGTGAATAACGAGACACTTTGTTATATCAGTGCCACAAGCAATTGGTGGCATTTATATACATTACATTATGTTATAAAAATGAAACAAAAGGAGGACGGTTCAAAATAATTTAATTCACATTGTTGTTTTTAAAATAATTAAGTAATTAAGTAATTTAAAGTTGTAAGTATCAGTGTGTAAAAACTGAACATGTTGTATTAGTGTTACATTGTATTTAAAGAGCAAATAAATACCTATAATCACAAATATCCACTGTATTTAGAAAAATGTTTTCCATACGAAGTGCACTAAAAGTATTATACTAGGTTCCGTAGAACACTATCAAGGGATAATAATGACAAATGCTTAGTATTAAGCTATATAAAGTAGGTAATAAATTCTTTGAAGTGTGTAATCATATAATTCTTAATAAAAAATTGGTGGCAGTTTATGAAACAATGTTAATACTCAATATTTAATTGAAGTATTTTAATTAGTATAATCATATAGTAGCAATTACATCAAACAATCATAAGTAATTATCATAACAAGGAAAGGATTGCTGTTAAATAAAGAGCTCCAATAGCTTGGCGCGCACAGCAAGGATATGCGTCACATGTGCTATTTACACTTTACACTTGACACTATGTTGCTCGCAAGTTTTCAACTACAACAGTTTACTATTACAGTTACAAACTTGTATAAGTACAAGTTGTCATCTGAGCCTCCTAACGTCAGCAAGCTGTTGGTGTCCCCCTTGCATACAAGTTACACGAGAAAAGAAATATCAGTCAAATTCCCTTGTAAACTTCGATCGTTTGCCCCAACTGCCTTTTTGGATTGGAAAAATGCAGGAGGCTTTCCACCAGTCCGTACCAGACGTCCGTCCACGTGAAGTAAACAATGACAAGTCGAGGTTTTGGGGTGGGCCTACATAGCCAGCACAGATGCATGTCCAGTTTACAATATACAGCACTAGCCTGACTACAGACTAGGGATGACCACGTAAAATGGCGGTCCCGTCTCCAGTAATACTAGAACTTAGAAGGCCAATGGGGACGTAAAACTAAAAGA